ACCACTTGCTGATAATCATCACCGCCCAAAGTTTTTTTGTGTGTCTTATTTCATATTTGCAGTTGCACGTATACAATTTACATACAGTAGCGGCCAAAAGTTTATCACAATATAGTTTGTTTGCAAAAACTGTTCATGGTATTACCATAGAATTATCGGATGCTAATAAATAATTTAAAAAGAAATGAAACTTCCCCACAACAAATAGTGGCTATACTTAACTCGAATTGTTTTTCGTAGAACTCTAAATAACATATTAATATTTTATTGCCAACCGTAGTAATTGCTAGTGTTACAATGAAAAAATAAAACTGTGATAATCTTTTGGCCGCTACTGTACATAATTGTCTTCTAAAAATACGCATCGTATGTTCTCCTGTATACATATAACTACAATATTAAAATAAATTTCGATTAATCTCTCAGTTTAGCGAAAACGTTTATTTGAAATATCGACGTTCCGTACAGAATATTTTTTTGACGTTTCACTTACGCGAGAAATGGATTTTCGCGGTTCGCAGCACTTTCAATCTGTTAATGCCGACGACGATTGTCGAAATGACAGAAAATCGAAGCACAAAAAACACGAGTGCGTATCCGCCGATGAAAATTGGAACAAATTTTTAAAAAAAGCAATTGCGCTTATGATTATACGATAGGACGAGGGCGACGCAAATAACGACGGTATAAATTTAGGTTCTCTGTATATGGAGATGTTGTGGATATTGTAGAGAATATAATGGTAACTTGCTTGTGACTTACGGGGAAAATTAGCAATTTAAATACTGGGTACATTTACAGATGGTTCGCTAAAGATGTTTCTAATGTAGCACGGTAGAATATGGCCAATTGCCTTTTAAATGTATGCACATCAAATTTGCATCATGACTAAATTAAGTGGTTCGCGACAGTATACGTTATTTAAACAATACACACTTGAAATATTTTAATCCCACCGAAAATTTCGGCAAAAGTTTGCACGTTCCTATGTTTCGTAGTTACTTTAGGCATTAACATGTTGTATAGCTAATTTTGACTGATTTATAATGATTACAAACATTACAACATAAATCCCCCTCAATATTGATCTTGTTTTCACGAGAAGACACAACTAGCAGCCTCGAATCTCGATTTGAGCAGATCCCCAAAAAACTGAATTTGCTCGTGTTAATTTATGTACATTACAAATCCATTAGTTGTATAGAAATTTAGTTATTTTTGCTGTCTAAAGTAGTTTTCTTGAATCAAAGTTGACGACTAGTTTATATACTACCGATTTGCATACCCACATCTCGTTGTCGAGTCAAAATTTTGCTTTTGCTATCTAAAGTATATTGAATTTCCGCTTTCCATTTAATATCAATTATGATTTTTCGTGTTCGGGTTACCCGACGTGGCAAACGTTAATTTGTCTCGCATTTATATGCCACACTATCACTCCCTCTCGTTTTATTTGTATGTTTATCTGATTGCAGATTCTTGGTTGAGAGCGCCCTTCTAAGCTCGGAGAGGTTGCGACCCCCAGAAAGCTTTTTTTTTCTTACTTACTCCCTTAAGTATAGTGTGCAATTAAAAATTAGAAAAACCTTGCCATACGCTAAGCTATCAATAAATTTATTGCCCTTTAAATGTAAAATCTTTTAAATTAACAGAACGTCAAAAATGGTGTTTAATACGTGACACGAACACAGTACATATGGATTGTCTCCTGAGAACTAATGTACTATGCGATCGAAACATAGTTGCTTTCGAGTCACCTTTGGAATTTTTGTTTACATGGGAAATCATATTTAACTTGAACTTCCAAAGGCGACTCGACGTCAATCTTTTTTGATCGCCTGTTATTACTTGAGTATTAAATCTTAATTTTGTGAAATAAGGACCATTTGACAGAGTTTTTTTCTTCATTATTGTCTAATTTAACAGTATTCATGATTAAGGTAGTAAAAAATAGAAAGCTTTCTAATGACGTATCACGACCTATGTTCCCATTTAAAAAATTCAAGATGGCGGTCGCACTCAAAAACCATTTGTTTTAATCTCAAAACATGTGAAATAATTTCAGATGAAAGCGTTCTAATTTTCGTGTCTATATCTCAAACGGTTTGAGCGTGAGAGTTTTGGTACCATCTTTAATAGCAATAGCGACCCTGTATAACTTTGTATAACATTCTTTAACAAGTTTTTTTACTATTAAGGGATAACAATAATTCCCCTGCAGTTCAAAACAACTGTAACTGTAAACAACTGATGACTAAGGTAGTATAAAATACCATATTTCAGATTACAATATCTGCTCAAAGTGACCTCTATTGCACAACTAATAACTTCCCTTAAAATTTTCTAATGCATAGCCAACATGTGTTATCCCCTAATAGTGCAAAAGGTCATTAAACAATGAAACGCGGAACTATAAAAATATACACGGTCTGCCATTAAAGATATTGAAAACTTATTTTATTTAATCAGTACATTTTTCGTGGGTACATATAAAATACTTTTTTGTGTTCCCAAAATTAATGAAAATAAGGGGGGGGGGGAGTGTTTCAGAAGGTGCTTTTCAATAAGATTTCTGGTAATGTTTCTAACAAAACGATCATCCAAGGAGATCTGTTGAATATTTTCAAAGAAGTGCTCAAAAGAGGATTTTAAAATTTGTAAGATCACTAGTAAAGTTCCCAAAAAGAAATTTCGTATTAGTTTCGTAATAATAAATAAATAGTTTCTCGGGTGATTTTGAAAATTCTTACAATTTGCTAGGGAAGCCTCAGAAAAACGTTTCACGAGAGTTTTGCAGCAAGTTAGATCCTTAAAAAAGAGACAACTAAAAACACCAACCATCAAATCAAATGTTTTAAATCTCACCAACCGTCAAATTAAAAAGTGATAGGTATAAGTAATGACGTAGTATGTAATAATCATCAATTAACGCTTACCGCTTAAAATATACTTCACAATATGTAAATTGTACACACTGTAATTTTTCAATAAATCTTCAGCATATTTTGAAACGACATCTCTTAAGACACAAGTTATCAAAGGACTTAAAATGTATACACTGTGATTATACAACGAAATAACTGTACCCAGTACGTAAGAAGATCACGCATCCCCAGTTCCCACTATTCATATTAAAGTAATTGCACCTACTGATGCCCCATGGAGCCAGTTGACTCTTCCTGCAGACTCTAAATTAGTAATCTGCGCATAGCCCGCTGTAGTCTTCTTACATGCCGTTACCAGCAAGAAGCAGTCAAGCAGGCATATGTTAACCCACAATACTTTCAAATATTTAAAATGTACACAGTGTGATTTTGCAACAGATCACCACCATGTCTCGAAACGGCAGCTCAAAACTCACAAAATCTCAAAGGATTTAAAATGTGCACACTGTAATGACATTCTATGGAAACGTTAAGAAATGTCAATGTATATTTTTTTATTTTATTTCTCCCTCTTGTTCTAGGCCATCAACAGGCTTACGTCCAATTAATATACAAGGTATTTTTATCGAATTCGACGAATTCTAAAAATTAGTCAGGAATAAAGTGTTTATAACAAAAATGTATTAAAAAAAGTTGTTTGGAATTAAAAGTTATGGCAGACCTTCAATTTTCATACAAATCAACCTACTTTGATTTTCTATAGTCTTTGAACTTTCATAATACAGGTCTTGTTTTCTTGTTGAATTCCCGCGCCCGTGCGTTATGGGGTTTCAGTTTCTTTCGTTCGGTCTAATAAAAATATACTTTCGCGACCTTTGATTTGAGTATAAATCCAGTAAGTCCGTCCTGCTTCAAAAGAAGTACATCTAATCTTATGTGTAAATAAAAGGTATCTAGGCTCTATATGGATTATAAATTATTCCAGTCTCGAGCGGTACTCAGGGGGTGTCTTTAATGTTCCAATCTTGAGACGTGAGTTTTATTTTCAGTGTATACTTAAATTTTTTATTTGAAATGCAATATCCATTCGATTTTACCTACTTACACAACTTTAACCTTAAAAACTGTGTAAAAGTGTATATTTTGTTTAAAATTGAGGAAAGAATTGAAATATCGAACAACATACAGGGTGTTCCTGCAATTTTGGTGTGCCATGCTTTTATAACCAACACTGTACAATTAAAGTTATTGATACTGGTTAGTAGATATTGAAGAACCTCCAAACCTCTGATGTACAGCACTTTTTTATATCTTGTATATTTTCCCCGATAATCGACCGTTTCCAGTCATATCAGCGTCCCTGTATTACTCGATCAGTTATTGCTTATTCATACGCGATCGCCATTTATAGGTAATTTTGATATTTGTTTCCGATTCAGTTGATGCATCCTGTCTAATAAAAAGAACACGCTACATGACAGCAATGCGTGCATTGCATTGCATGCACATAAATTTTGCTCCCTTAGGTATAATGCATTTTACAGATCTCTGCACTTGCTTTATTCATTCATGAAACTTCTTTTGTATATCTGTTCTCGCCCTTTTGCTTAGAATATTATTTCTAAAAACGAACTCAAAATCGCCGATTCCATTCCGGTCATACATATATACCATTTAATATTATTGTAACTTGCGCATTTTCGTAAGGAATAGACTAGTGCCAAAACCGGCCGCATTTAAAAAATTCTCCAACATTGTCAAACGGAAATAAAGTGTTCGTCCCAAAGGAATTACATTTAATTTGTAACCACTAGCAATTAAAACATCATTAAACCAAAATTTCACAAAAAGTGAAAATAATAGCAATAAAAGTATTGTGTGACATTTATTTACTAAAGACGTTAAAAAAAGGCACGGGGTCAACCTTATGTCAAGGTTAGACGAAAACACACACCTTCCACGTGCGAGGAGATGAACTGGACCGCTTCCGATTTCGATATCCGAAAAGATCGACGCATGGTCGTTCCGTCTTGCCAACCTTGTCCTACTATAAAAATTTGACGATAATTGGTCAATAGTTTATATTTAACCAACCTTACTATTAGGCATCAAGAACGTAACCGTGAAGGTAACTACAATAAGAAACCTTGAATTCCTAATATTTCTCGCCCCTTTCACCTGGTAGCAGAATTTTTTTCATTTGATTAGAAACAATAATACCGAAAGGCTGCGGCACACCATTTAATTGTGTGTAATAAATAATGAATCGTATCCTTTATTTGTGCGTATTCGTGTTTGTGTTTTCAACAGGTGAGTAAAATTTTATAAATTGTGAAAATTACTGTAATCAAAATTTTCACTTACGTAGACGTACGTACCTAATTGCAATATAATTGCGGCAGAATGCAACGAATTTGAAGCTTCTAATTGGCGATAATTTACAGAATCTAAATTTCTGATGCTTTCATTATAAGAACAAGCGGAAAATTAGAAATTGATTTTAATTATCTGCTTACAATGCTGACTGAAATAAAATAATTAAAGAAAGTTCGAGTGGCAAACTTCCGATTTTTTCTGAATGCCTATCCCTAACGTTGTAGTTCACTCAACGATTTTAAAGTAAGTAGAAACACCACCACTGAATGAAAATCCTAAAAATTCCCATTTTCTCAATATTACCATTTAAACCCCTATAGGAGAATATTATCTTCGTATATCGCTACAAATGCTATTGTGTTAAGAGATATTCAACCCAATCATCTCTGCCCTACACACAAATTCAGTACATTCCTTTAAATGGATGTGTAATATATCCTCGTAAAAAGAGCATTAGAGAATATATTCTTTCCCTGCCATTATTATTACTTTTACCAACTAACGGTTTCATTGATTCCCATTTCGCAGACGGGAGTCGACGGAGCCCTGTTTATATAGTAATTAACCGTATAAGAATAAAAATTTACGACAACCTAATAGAGGATAATTTATTACAACTTGTCCAAAAACACAGATTATCCCAATGGACCTATACAGGGTGGTTCAAATTCGTGGCTTACCATAGTAATCTCCGTAACAATGATAGATAAGGCGTAGGTGAATGGTGGCAAAGCTGGCCCTTTTTGTGATTAATAAAACGCTTTTTAAATTTTTGAAAATCTTTGAAAAAACTAGGACTTTCAAGACTTAATTATAGCCGAATGTCGTAGAATTAGTCCTTTAGTTTTGAAAAATTAAGATCTAGGCTAGTCCGTGATCAGAATAAAGTAGCAGAGGTGGCCGGTAGCGGTATTTTTGTAGGTGGGGATTAAGACATCCAAATTATGGATCACTTGATTCTTCGTTTCATTTAAAAATTTGTGGGGGTTGCGATCCCGTGCACGCAAGAATTCTTTTTACACCAAATTGGCCAACCTTGATGTAAAAATCGGTAGGTTTTTACCGAAACATGAATTTTAGGGGTACAAATTTTCGTTGGAATACCTTGTATGCCCTTTCCTGAGATATGTGATCCAAGAAAACTCTAAAAAAGGCCTGAGCAGTTTTGGAATGTGTCCGGAAAGCCTTTAAACTATCCATTGGACTTTAATTACCGCTCAAAGATTTTACAGGGTTATTTCATAAGGTACGACAGCCTAAAAGTCCTCGGTAAGGACCCAAGAAATATTCGTAAATGTACCCCTATCAGAAGCTTTAGAAGGTCTGAGATGGTGACGATAAGGGAATGATCTGGAAAGGTCCAACAGTGCTTGTAGAACCATTGCTACGGTTTTTGAGCGTTTTTACATTTGAACCTAATAATACAAAGAGTAAAAACACCATATCTCTTGACAATCTCAGTTCCTTTATAGTCGTAAAAAGGTTTTCGCCCTAAGGCGAGTTACTTTAGCGCATTTTCCATACCTTTAACGGTACTTTCCAAAAGGCTATGGCTATTTTTTCTTTATTAATAGCATCTAAGGTTAAAATGCCAAAGAAGTATCTCAATAAATAAGAAAGTTGGCATTACGCAATCTACGCGTTCAGATATCTTCTGCAGCATGCGATATGTTTGCCTTTACTATCTATGGTTAAACTTACAAAGAAATATCTTCATAAATAAGTATGCACATTGACTGCGCATGCGCACATCTAATGTTTACAATATGAGATATGCTTGCCTTTAGCAGAAGCATTAAAACTTCAAAGAGATAGGTATCTCGATAAATAAGAAAGTTGTTATTTCACAGTCTGCGAAGGCGCATATTAATTGTCAAGATTTTTCTTGGATCAGGTGCCAGGGCTATAACCTACCGAAAATGAACTAAATATATTAAAAACCGTAGGAGTAGTTAAGGCTTCGGACGGACAGACAGAGAAAGTGGCTGCAATAGCGCACATCACTGTGTTAGAAAATGCGCTAAAAATGTGAATTCTACATATCTAGCATCTAGCATATGCGTTATATGTCATTTGATTGCTGTAGGAAACCCTTGAAAGCCTCCAAAACACATTGAGATATTAGGCTAGACGACGCGTTCATGCACTGTTTAAAAGATTTCCTAGGGCCTTCAACCCTCCTACGGAGCATTAAGCGTTTTCCAGAGACTCCATAGATTATAGGACTGAAAGTTTTATAGCTTTCAGGGTCTCTCTTTTTTAGCACTTTTGAATCGTTATTTATGCTCTTTGCGGTGTTAAGACGAGTTTGGAAAAGCATAAAATTCCAACAAGATTTCGAAAAACGAAAAATGCTCTGCAAAAATCAGAAGCAAACCCTTTAGATCGTTTATAGGGCTTCGTGAAGCTTAAAAGGTACCTTCCAGAGTTTTCCAAGTATTTCCCTAACCAAGCAGAGCAGTGATGCAATAACCTAAATGTGTCTAAGAAGTCCAGGAGTGTAGATACCTGTATGATTTGAAAACGTACTAGAAGGCTCTAAAAACTGTTTGATAATTCTGTAAGTCCTTAGAAGCTTGCAATATCTTAAAAACACGTTTAAAACAAAATAGTCAGGAAAATGACACATAACTGGCGAGGAAATATTGAAGTACGAGGTCCCTTTGGGGCCGAGTCAAGTGGTGTCATTGTACTGTGGAGTTTTGTATTAAATTTTAGCCGAAATCGTATTTTATTCTCGATTTTATTTCAATTTTAGTATAGAACTTTTGATTAATGTTAATCTGTAAGTGATGACATTATCAATGTGACAGGTGCGGCCGGTAAAGTCACAGGCGGCAGGAAAAGTTCTAAAATTTCTTGCACGAAAAAGAAGGTTTTATGACGGTCGTGGGTAAAAATCATATTTGAATGTATAAAATTCGTCATTGTTTGTCCTGCTTCTAGCTTCAGACTAATGAAAACCACGAGTAAGCATTTATTGTGGTCAGGTTTAAGTAGAACAAAAAATGTGCTCATTGAAAAGTACTTGTGCAATATCACCAACAGCCAGTAATTAGAGATCCTGAATTATGATTAGAACGATCTCATGAAAACCTTTAATATTTTTGAAACCCGTATATGAAATATGTCTAGCTGGAAAGTTTTGACGAATGCAAAAATCTAAGAATCTACAGGGTGTTCTATTAATAAGAAAGTTGGTATTGGCCGCTGTTCAACACACACCGTATAAATAGTGTTCCGAACGTTTTTTGAGCAAGCCCGTCCCCCCTATTTCTTATCGAATTTATTTCCTTTGACGGATACACACTGTTTATTAGAGACTGTTATTCTCAATAGCCGAAATCGGGTAATGTCCGAAATTTATAACCATAACGCGTTTGTGAGCACTGCAGTTCATTCAGAATACGATAAGGGTTTAATTTCGGATGAATGAGTAAAACAATTTAACTAACACGCGTTGCGAGTATACCCAAGAAACAACATTCTACTTTAAAATAAATAGAAAAATAATCACACAATAACATTATTTCTTTTTACAAGGATAGCTTCTGTGACATTTTGTCTTTTGAATTGGATTTTAACCCATTTCTGATACAAGCACATGCTTTACAAAAGATATATCAAACACGCGACCCGCGGGCTGCCGTTCTAAAGCCTTCGGCCCGTCACGATATGGACAAATTATAAAATTTAATTGTATCGTGTGTCCTATTTTGGTTTTGGTTCTAGTGTACCTCAGCTGTTTTTAAATAGAGAGACTTGTGTTTTTCGCGACCCTGTGCGACTATTTTGTGCAACTTTTAATGCCACAAACACACTCAATCTAGCACCGTTTGTTTCAGAGATACAGGGTGACAACGCAAAGTTTGACATTTTGGAATACCCATGTTAGATCGAGTGAAACTGCCTATTTTAGATATTTTTACGTAGAATCCAGTGGCGTAGTAAAAAAACTTTTTAACTACCGAGGTTTGAACCAAAGTTGGTTTTTTTAAATGCAACACCCGGTATATCTTAACGTCATTTTTTTGCATTCGGCAACTGCATCTCCTTATTAAAAAATTTAGGAGGTCTCAGAATTTTTCCCTGCAGTCGCCGAGTTAACAATTAATTTATTCCTTTCCTCAAATTTGGTATAGTGAAAATTTCGTTGATAATCCAATGCAACTTTATGTCAATTCAAGAGATAAGCGCATGAAAGTTAAATAAAGGTTCATATTTTTGAACATTTTTAGCGCATTTTGCAACGAAGTTGGGTGCGATATTGCAGCCCCTTTCTCTATCCGTCCATCCGTCCGACCCCTTAACAATTCCTCACAGATATAGGCAAACATATGGCATATAGTAAAAATCAGACGGGCGCATGTCAATTTTCTTTCTTTTAGGAGTTTTGGGAAGTACTGATAAATGCATGCAAAATGCGTTACTCGCCTTAAGGCGAAAATACGAAGCTCTGGATAGGAAATTATTTTGTAAATTACAGTTGTAACTTGGAATTAGTTTATAATTTACAGTTGTAACTGGGAATTATGCTAATTTACAGTTGTAACTGGGAATTAGTTTATAATTTACAGTTGTAACTGGGAATTATGCTAATTTACAGTTGTAACTGGGAATTATGCTAATTTACAGTTGTAACTGGGAATTATACTAATTTACAGTTGTAACTGGGAATTATGCTAATTTACAGTTGTAACTGGGAAGTGGGAATTATACTAATTTACAGTTGTAACAGGGAATTAAACTGATTTACCGTTGTAACTGTCAAGGATAATTCCCAGTTACAACTGTAAATTAGTATAATTCCCAGTTACAACTGTAATTTACAAAATAATTTCCTATGTGTCCTATCCAGAGCTTCGTACGAAAACCTTTTTACTTGTTTGAAATTTTCATCAATCCGTGTGAATCACTTATAACCGATTGTCAATAGTACCTTTCATTTGTTTTCACCCCCTTCCGCGCAATGATTCAGATTTTAGGTTTTTACTCTCCTAAAGCGAGCATCATTTCAACTCTGAAGAGGAAACTCATTTTGTATCTTTATCTGATATTCACTCAAGTTTGACAATATTTTCATGGTTAATGAAAGAAAGCATGAGACAAATTCTAATTGTGAAACATTTTAGGGCAACTATTTGAGGTGCCAAACGAGATCCTGGAAGATCTAGGAAACTTCGTATTTGGAACATTGGACGTTATAATCTCCGGCTGTGGACCAGTAAACCCTCGCCACGTAAAGTACATCTACTTCAATAACAAGAACGTAACGGAACCCATACTATTAAATTATTCGAACATTAACAGAGTAATACCAAATCTCCCAACAAAAATCATTATACACGGATGGTACGGATTGGCAACCGGCCCGACTGCGCTCGAATTAAAAGACGCTTATCTCAAGAGGGGCAGCTACAATATAATTTTTGTAAATTGGGAACACTACGCTAACGTTAATTACGCCGAGGCACGCTGCAGACTTTCCGAATTGGGAGATTTAATCGGCGACTTTTTGCAGCGTTTATACGCGAATGGCAAAGCGCACTTGAACCAAACGCACATTATCGGCCATTCGCTTGGAGCGCATCTTGCCGGGTATATCGGGCAAAGAATTCAATACCGAAATGGAGGACAAAAATTATCTAGAATAACGGGATTGGACGCGGCTGGTCCCGGATTTCTAGGATTTCCATCATATAGTCGTTTGGATGCCGGCGACGCTTTTTTTGTTGATGCGATACATACAAATGGAGCGCAATTTGGTTATCCGCGAAACTACGGAAGCGTTGATTTCTACCCCAATTGCGGTCTGTTTCAACCGGGGTGTTTGGATTATAATATAGCGGACAAAGCTACGTTATTTCAGCAAACTGTCGATAACAGTAAGTACCTACAATATTAATAATAACCGCGAAATTTAACCGATGCTCTTACAGTCGGATGCAGTCACGATCGAAGCATGAAGTACTTCATCGAAAGTATCAACTCTAGAAAGTTTATTGCTAGCGATTACGATACTTGCTTTTTATTTCATAAATGTAGACGAGGGGCGAAAAAGACAAGTGTCGTTATGGGCGAAGATTGTCCCTTTAGTGCGACAGGAAGTTATTGCCTATCGACTAATTCGAAGTTTCCGTACGCGAAAGGAAAGTAAAACGCTTGGCAAATTTTCCCGTACTAATAACATGGAAAATTTACGTCAACACTTGGAATTACAAGCTTGGCTCGGCAAATCTCTCAGATTACACCGTGAATACAAACAATAACGTCATTTAAGTAGTTGAGCAAACTTTAAAATTAACTTCCAGTCCGGCAGTTTAACCGAAGTTAACTTGCAGACATTCATACCAAATTCGTGCATATCGTACTTGGTGTTACTACATTTGACACGGTAGAATGGATTATTCGCAAAATTTAATTCCAAGTTTCCAAATGGCCATTGAATTTAAAGTGCGCCATACAAACTTATACTACGACAAAAGAAAGTTCAGGGTTATCCGACCTCAAACACTCGACATACAACTCAAAATTATGAACGGATTTTCCGAATATCGTAAATGAAAATTGAAAAACTCGAGAAAGTAGAAATTGGTTTCGAATGGACGTTTACGTCTCGGGTATCTCATTATTTATAGAATTACGTAGAGGAAAATTACACTTTTCGAAAGCATTTCGAGAGGAAAAAATAAAACTTTATTACGCATTCGAACCCTAAAGGCAGGAATTGAAATCTAGAAAGAGGTTAAGGCGTAAGTACCGCGATTTTCTGTTACGAAGACCATCTGGTGTATCGCAAGGGGTTAGTGATATAGGATTAGGTTATTACGTGATTAGAATACTTGTTAAATGCACTAAATAGAAATAAATTATTGCAATCGTTCATGTTTTATTATCGTTTGGTGGATCTCTTAAGCGCTGGAAGCGATGTATCGGACAAGCCCCCAAGAAGTAAAGAATCTAGATACATTATAATGTTACGATTCGCACGGTTTAGTAATAAAAGTCGGTTTAACTTTCCTTGCACAAAACGACTGTGCAGAAATGGACATTTACAACCGTTGAAGAAGTTGTGGAGCGATGAGTAGTTGAGTACCTTCTAAATACAAAAGATATATGAAAAACGACATAATAACTATAAAATAGGGGCCAAAAATCAAAATGTACATTTGAAGGTACCTAATAAATTAATTACGAAACAGTGTTTGGCATTGTTTCACTTTTCGTCCCTCAAACTTTAGTTCTTCAAATAGTGTTATTACACTTCCATCCAAAAGTGATACTTTTAAAGGTCTGATGGAGTACGTAAATTTGTACCAAACTCGCCTTGGGCTCGCTAAGTCCTGGTTCTGAAGCTATTTTTTTTTAGAAATTTCCAAGAGCAATTTCGAAACAAATTTACCTACCGCATCAGACCTTTACTCTGTCTAGGTTTATGCCCTGTTTATGCACTGCTTTTAAAACTATCACTTTTGCCTGCAAGCAATTTCGGCACAAACGTAGGCAGAGTAGAGGTCTGATGGCGTAAGTACTAAACTAGCCTCGGGTTCGCTCAGTACTGATTCTGAAGCTATGATTTTAGGTTCCAAGGGTAATTTAAAAACAAATTCACCTATCCCATCAGACCTTTACTCTGCCTAGGTTGGTGCCGAACTCACCTTCGGCTCGCTCGGCACTGCTTTTAAAAGTACAACTTTTGCGTGCTTTCCGCTCGTTCGTCGTTGAAATGGGCCTGTTATTCAGGCCCGTAGCAGGGGGTGCCCCACCTAGAACGTGGTCTTGTTCCCACTGGAAATGACGGTTGATGGGTCCTTTAAAAAACGTACAGGGGAAGTCTTTATCAATCTACCCTAGAAAAATACCGTCCACTCCTGCTACTTCATTCTGGCTACGGGCCTGCCGTTATTAAACTTCCACGCCAAAGTGCTCGCTCTAAAATCAGTGCAGGGCAAGCCGAATGCTAGTTCGGCACAAACCTAGGCAGAGCAAAGGTCTGATGCGGTAAGTAAATTTATTAGCAGATCTCTTTTAATTTTTGGGCAATTTCGAAACACATTTACCTACCTCATCAGACCTCTACTTTGCCTAGGTTTCTGCCGAACTCGTTCCTCATTGAAATGGGCCTGGTGTTAAACTTCAAAAAAAGTGATTTTACAATCAATCCTAGGCAGAATAGATGTCTGATGGGGTAGGTATTTTTGTTGACAAATCTCTTTTCATGCTTGGCGATTCAAGGGCAATTAAAAAAAAATATCTACATCATCAAACCTCTTCTATGCCTAGGTTCTATGAACTGGTTTTAAACCGTCACTTTTGCCCTTTTGGTATAACATTACGGCAGTTTTTTTATCGTTCAGTTGTAAACGATTGGATGAACACCATTGCCAATCACCATGCTGGCCGTACCCTCAAGAGTGTATTCATGTACTTAACTACATTGAGCGACATCATCCGGTTATAACAGAAAACATCCACCCTGCATCTCCGAGCGAAATAGCCCAAATTATATCTGCTCCCCCCAACGAAAATCACCTGGACATGATCGAGTTATCGACCAATAAATCTACTTACGACACTATCTGAAATTTTAGAAAGAATTATTCATACTCGATTACTAAAAATTGTGAAAACCAAACCACCCTTTCAATTTTGGTTCAAAAGAGGGCATTTAATTTGTCATCAACTCCAGGAAATTAACGAATAAGCTTCGCGATAGCAACGTACCAACCTACTTGCAAGCAATCATCTTCTGGTTCAAGGAACACAAAACCTTCGCTGTCACAAACTTTTACACATCCGACACTAAAGCAATACGTACTGGAGTTCCCCAAGGAAGTATACTCGGGACTCGGGCCTCTATTGTTTAACATCTACACATCAAATTAAAAACAGCTACTGAAATCACGACGTTACCAATAGTCTTGTCCCGATTTTTATTGTTACTCTTTGTCTGTACTAAATTAAATATGTCATGTATAACAATTCATTGTTTATCTCACAAAACTTGTATAAATCGCAATTTATTCCAACTGTTCCAGTGCCACAAACAATATTGCGGTTTAAATTTGTATATGTACCGAACTTGCACAAATATCCGAAGTTCGTGGGTCATTAAATGTGCAAAAACAATATTTACGCAAAGAGAATGTTGGAATCAGCCCTAAAAGATGTCGATGTTAAACCCATAAAAACCTCAGTTACGAAATCTGGTATTCCATTTAGCGCCCGATCCGAAATGTGCAATTTAACATAAATGTATAGTATGTGACTGGAAAGCGTAACGTAACATTTCATATTCTATATACCGTTTTATACCATGGGAGTAGACGTGATTAGTATGAGAAGAGAAAAAAATACAGATAGGAAAGATGAAGGAAGATGCTATTTAATGTAATATCGGGACAGGATAAAGGAAATTGGATTGGATGGCTGTAAAAGTTTATGACTGACAAATAAAATCAGAAAATATTCTTACATTCTTGAGATGTTGCAGTTATAGTATGCGAACGCTTGAAAATTTACCCACATCAACTTCACTCAAATGTGACTTAATACACTCTTGTCCCGTGGTAAAGGGTGGAATGTACGATTAATACAAACGCTCTATAGAAAGTTGCTCGCAAACAAATCTCTGAACCTTTGAAAAAGGTTTTTTCTTTGTTTTCAGGTTACCGGTCAATCGAGTTTGTGGTAGTTTACGTTTACTACCGTTTAGATTATTTTATCGCGTTTTGCTACATGAGCCGATAAAAAATTCGTTAGTTTCATAACGGACAATTATAGAAGTGTAACTTCCGTAAGTCACACTGCGATATTCTGAGCCAAAAATTGTATAACCAAAAAATGCCATCTGGTTTACCAAGAAAAAGTAAGCAACTTATTTCTAATCTATTGAATTTGATTTTTATTGTTACACAATTTAAAATGTGTTCCGGATTTTCTTTTGCTTTTTTTGACTTTGTTAATTTAGTTCGTGTATTTATATGGGCTATGACAGGGTTTTGGTCCCGAAAAAGGTTTCCCTGACATCACCTGGTTATGTGCGTAATATATTTTGTTCTCGTCTTTTCCTACGGACAAAATATGAGTTTTTAGTCCATTTTCTTTCACATTTGTGTATAAAAAGAACCGGCAATTTTAACACCGACTGCTACCGAGATTCGAAAATTCCGCGAAATGTGAAAGTAACGGTGGCTCTGCTCGTGAGCATGGGGTAAGTCAAGATTGCACTCGCTTCTCGACTTCTGCTAAGAACTGCGGGAGTTGATATTACGAAAAAACAATTAAGATAATTTTTTATAAAAAAATTTCCTTTATGTGCAAATAATAATGACCACCTTGTTAGGTAAAGATCACGACATAGACAAGTAACTACCGAAACATTGTTTTTAGTAATTGGTCAATAGAAGCCGTCGATGTAATTGGGTATCCTATCCAAAATATGCAGCACTGTCCTGTATTCTGTATTCTCTTCCATAGACATGATGCTATGTAAACATACTTAGTGATGATGTGAATTTTTGAAAGTGGAATGACCGTTATATTTACACTCGTTAAAAGAAAATTATTTTTGCGGAAACGCACAGTAAAAAACAAAAAACGCTGTTTTCCGCGATTTTTTCGGTTATTTTGAGGTTATATGAGAAAGTGACTGGAAAGAAAGTTGTAGTTTTGCACGATCTACGCAACTTTTCCTGTGTAGTGTGTACCAAAATGGAAATAACGACCGGTCTAACCTTTACAGTGTAACTAAGCCGAAAAAATTTTAAAATTGAACGGAAATTAATTTTCCAATTTGGAAATGCGGTGTTTTTAATTAATGGTCCTTATGGGAGTTCGCAGCTTAATAACAAATAACTAACGTTTATTGGCATCCTACAGGGAGATATTTTGGCTTTATTATCAGCAATAACTCCTTCGCTATCGGCAAGTAACAGTATAGTACGTCGATTTGTCTTCGTAAAATAACAGTTTCTAATAACCTTTCAATCGCTTTAAATTGAATCAATAAATAAATGCAGTGAAAGTTTTCGGGAATCCATTATCAACCCCTAAACATAATAGAAATACTCAAGTTAACGAGGTGAAGCGTCTCTGCATGTGACGGCCCTTACAATATTCATTATCTTATAATTAACGTTTAACGTACCATATTCGATGTACCTACTTAACGAAAATAGCAAATTACTAACTAATCGTATTACTGTCGAATATAGTTAAATTAGTTTTCGTACCAATTTGCATTTAATCGACTTAAAGGCAAATTGTTGCAAATAATGCTAGAGAGCTAAATTCGTATTTCAACCTAATAGATCACGAACGGTAGGGTGGTTCTACTCCTCGAAGAATAAAGCGACAATGTGCGTTAGATCAAACGTAACTGCAGCAGCACGAAGCTATATAATCCCGAGCACAAGTGGAAAACTAATCGGCAACTTCTATAAGCCCTATAAGCAGTAATTTTGAACAAACTTGCTTACGACCGGTCTAATCTTTAACAGAAATTTACAGTGACTGAAAGTTATGCGAAAGTTTGAATGAGTACACAAGTGCGCATAAGATTTGAACGGGCTTCTGGTAAAGTAATCCGGCCTAAAGTAACAACCACTAACTTTGAGGAGATACCGAAACCAAGGACGATACATTGCAGATAGCCGACTTAATTGCTAATTTAGAGGTCCTGATAGTCCGGGGATATCCCCGACTTATTTTTCCTTCCGCCGAAATTGCTCGTCTTAACCTAAAGCGTTAATTAAAACGAGACCGAGCGAGGGTCGGAAAAAATCCGGAGCCGCTTCCCTCTATTATAAATAAGTTTTAATTAAATCAAATGTTTAAATTAACCATGGC